ATTATAAGGGGCTTATTTGATGAAACGGTACACCGTCACTTCCAGGGGACTTTTATATAATAGCTACTGATGCCTCAAAAAATGAGCAAATTACATCTATTGCAGGTATTACGGCAAATTCCCATTTTGCTTATAGAATAAATCACAATAATTCTATTTTTACAGCTGAAGCTCTGGCTATTTGCCAAGCTCTAGATGATCTATCTATTATAAACAAGAATTTGTTAATTTTGTCTGATAGTCTCTCTGTTCTCTCTGCTCTTCAAAATTACTCAATTAAATCCCATAGTGTCATCCATAAATTAGCTAGCAAGATTTACATTCTATCACTTTATAATAACCAGTTGATTTTACTTTGGACTCCGGGACACTCAAATATATTGTGGAATGAACAGGCCGATAATCTCGCAAGAACTGTCACAGAGTCTAATGTTTACATCGACTGGATTTCCTCAGAAGACATCAATAAAAAAATATATCAAGAGAGTTTTAAAAAAGCCAATGATAATTTCTATTCAAGCAAATATTTTGTAAACTTGGGAAATATTCCTAACATCAGCACCATCTCTAAATGGACAAGAAACAGAAGAGAAGAAATCCTATGTACTCGAATCTTCAGCAAAATGATCATCACTCCAGGACTTCTACATAAATTCAATTTATTGGATAACGCAAATTGTAGATCTTGTAATTGCTTAAACGACTTGGACCACATCTTGTTAAACTGCAATAGATATATTCATCCTCGAAATAATCTAAAACATTTTCTCAAAATCGATCCACATCACAACCTGACTTTCAAAGAATTATTGGAGAAAGCTATGTCTAACATATTAACATTCAGATTTTTTATCCAGAAACTGAAATATTTTGACATCTACTAATTTTTAAGAAACATCTGTCTTTTAGGGGATCATAGCCTTTGTTGCTCCATATCCCACAAAACCTGAACTGAACTGAAGGAAGTGCGCTACACACACACACAGAGAGAGAGAGAGAGAATTTTTTTTTCAAAATCAACCAAAAGCGGAGAGCAGAGTGCACGCGATCTTCTCTTTTCAAACAATTAAATCTCACCAGCAATGACATCCAATAATTCACAAAATAGCTGTAAATTTATGTTTCGAGATATCTTTCCGATTTTTTCGAAATTTCGCAATTGTCCATAATTCTGGAGATCTTCGTATAATAAGGACCATTATAAATTTATCATCTTCCATCCTCTCAAAAATTGACACATTTGTTGAGTAATTCAGAGTACCACTGAGAATTGTACCTCTCGTGAAATAGGTTGCCCCAACCCCTGTTCTATTGTATAAAAGTAAAATTGTATCATACTGTTTGTTCATTAAAACGTGAAATTTAATTTTTCATTGCTTTAAATCCACCTATTCTTCCTTTAAAAATCATTTGTTCAGGAAAAATTAAACAGTTTCGTTCTGTACATCATTTATCTAGAGAATTGATCGACAAACTGTGTTCCACGAGTCCCAATAAAAAAAAAAAAATGGGAAAGAAAAATTACAAATATGTATGCAAAATGGATTTATGTTCTCATGAAATTCGTTTAGCCACAATTATCTAAAGATCATAGAATAAAATTAAAAATTTTATTTATACATAATTTGAATTTTTTTTTTTAAACTTTTATTGTAATATAATAAATGAATTTTAAAACTTTATTTTATGCAGTAGATTGTGAATATACTATTGTTTGCTATCCCGAGTTCCACGAAGTAATTTTATACTAGTTAGTACAATGTTTTGAAACCTTTTACATTTGTGGGGGAAAAAACACCTATAATGAAGAAGATAAAAAAATTTATCGACATATGAACAGATTCGATGCTAAAATTTAAATTTAAGCTAGAAGACCTACATTTTAGGTTACCAATTCATGCCATATACGCAGAATTTCTCACACAGCTATGAACATTTTCATGCCATTCACAAAAATGTATTTAGAAAGTGAAAAATATTTTTAACGCGATTGGCAACAAAAACAAAATACAAAAACGAATTGAACACGGAATATGAAATGCTACTGCAGATAATTTCAAAAAGCTTACACGTCGATAGTTTGTGTAAAAAATTGTGAACACATATCTCAGTTACTAAGTATAATGCATGCGTAGGTGACATTTGGATCACAAATTTATATTATCAATGAGTAAATAACATTAAAATTACATCATAAAAGTTTTTAATAAAAAATAAAATATTTTTTTTAAAATTGTCTTTACATATAATATCAAAAATATATGTTTATCTATATACTTTAAATATTATTTTAAGATATATTCCCTTCAGCGAGGAAGGGGTTTCCTCGAAAACATGTTACAGTTCTAAGGGGTCCAAGAGTTGAAAAAGTTTGATGATTGACCAATGTCCAGACATGAGAAGTCTTTCATGGTCAAGATTCACTCTGCTGCTTTAACCCCTCGCCCGAAAAAAAAAAAAAAAAAGAGCTACCATTTATTTTACCAGTTTGACGACCGTCACCCTCCCTTAGCCCCCGCGTGTTCCCTTTCGCTGAAGGGGAGAATTTCATTGAAAAGGTTACCCGAGAAATTTATTGCCCATCTTGGGAATCTTGAGACAAATATATATTTGTGCCAAAAATTTCGCAATAGCCAACGCCATCTAGATGTCATGTAAGGTGTTAAACTAATGGCCCGCCATCACCTTAATTAATTGTCATGATGCGATGTGAAATTAGGAATCTGGGTTCAAAGTTTTCGAAATTAAATAAGTTTAAAATAGCGTCGCATCAATAGCAAAAATATTCGAAATGCATTCATATTCGGATTGGTTGACAGAATTTATGCAAAAATGAAGTGTCAATATTTTGTTTGGATCTTGAATTTTATTAGAAAAAATGCATTTATAGTAACGAAATAAATTTCAGTTCTTTCTCATTTTCGAAATATATCATAATTGATTTATTTTTAAAAACATGATTTACGTTCGGATGTTTTCAAGATAAGCAAGGCTAACATCTCTCTGCATAACATCCATCTGATAACAAAAATTGAAATGGGAGGAGATGCACCCCCCACCCCCAGACACGATAAACATAGTGTAATATCTCTATATATTTCTGACAAAATCACAATAGAAACATCAAAGTGATTGCTAAATCACTTTTCATTTGACTTTTTCCCTCTAAGTTTAATTATCTCAAGTACAGGTATCCTTCGTATAAAATGGTACTTGTTGTAGCGGTACCTAAATAAACCAGTACTTAGACATCACGCGAAGACGGTCGTTTTGGCGTGATCGATAAAATATTGGCGTTCAGAATGGAAGGTGCCCGGTTCGAATCCACCTACATTGGTGACCCTTTGACTGAAGTAAGAAAACGCAGCTTTCTGAGCTGTCGTGGCGCCATCTACCGCAAGAAAATTAAATAAATAAAAATAAGAGAAGAAAAACAATATAAATAAATTAAAAATGAGAGCGAGAATATGTATATATATATAAAAACAGGCTCTCTCCAAAAACGAACGGATAAAAATCGTTCGCCTATTCACCTCACTGGTGGGAGAGTAGTGTAGCGGTATCTAAATAAACCAGTACTTAGACATCACGTGAAGACGATCGTTTTGGCGTGATCGATAAAGTACTGGCGTTTGCAATGGAAGGTGCCCGGTTCGAATCTATCCTACATTGTAAAATATGGTTTCGCTATTGCACATGGCACAAAATGTGCGATTATTATAACACGGATTCAATGTTACACTGCAAAAACCTTGAATTTAATATTTCACGGTTTTGCTATACCACGATTTTAAAAAATTGAATGCAATTTTCGTTCAATTAGGGGAATTCCCATCTTCTTTAAAATAAAATGGAATTTAAAAGAGAACTGCACAAAAAAACGTTCTTTATCTCCTTGTAGAGAAATTCTAAAAGAATTGCAAGGCCGAAAAAAACAGGTATAATTGCAACTACCTCAGACAACTTTTGTAATGATGGAGAAATAATTAGCGAAGAGGGGTTTCAATAAACTTTGAAAAAAAAATAGATTAGCTGTAATTTCTGATGGGAGTGATGAATATTAATTTTGTGATCCTAATAAGTCGTTTCTATTTATTTTGCAATACTAGTTATTATAATAATAATTTGTATTGTATTTTTAATTTTTGTATTTCAATTTTTGTTTATTAAAAACTTAAAGTTAATTTACTTTTTCATTTGTATGTTATATTGGAACTAAATAATAGCTATCATATAAAATTTTACATCTTAAGACTTGATTTCGATATAACACGATACACATTACCTGGATTTATATTATTTCTTTACAGTGCGACGTTAATAAAAATTTACGCACTCACCCAATACCAAAATTATTCTCGGAACAATTAACAAAAAATTAATCTCTCTGTGCAACGCAAAATAAATCATTAAATTTGAATAGCAAAATCGCGGAATTTATTAAATTGAAGTGTTTCGTTAGTTGTTAATGACAAAAATATTGCTTCAATTTTATGAAACAAATATTGCAGAGGTGTTATATATTTTTTAACTAAAAATTTAATTCTTCCCTTTTCTATTGTATTGTATTTTACGTCGTACATATTTTGAAATGCTTTGAGTTTTAACTAAATAAAATAGTTCGAAAAATAAAATTCAATACGAGATTATACTGAGCTTATAATCATACGTGGCAAAACTACAAATGTCGGAGAAAACTCATGAGTTAACCTAAACCGAGCAATATAAAAAAAAATTAAGTCTATTTCTGCTTAGGTCAACAAAGAAAAATTTTATTTTAATTACTTTTTATTAAATAGTTACAATTAATATAAATATGTATATACATATGACAGGATCACAATATTAAGTGACAAAATGGAAAGCGATTTTCCATTTTATTTCTATATATGGTGTTGGGCTATTTTTTTTGTTTGTTACCATTTATTCATTAATTAAATTTAATTATTGGAATAAAATAGTATAGTACAAAAGAAAAGACATAATCTAAAAAATTTGGCAATCCCAGGTGGGATTCGAACCCATGACCTTTGGATGTGAATTTCAACGCGCTATCCATTGCGCTACGGAGACTTAACGAATTACATTCTTTCTACATATGCTGTTGGACTATTATTTTTGTTTGTTATTATTTATTAATTTTTTTAATTTAATTAATTAATTAGTATTTGAAAAAACTGTATTAAAATCAATTGTCATCCCCTACAAGTTCAGAAAAATATATTTGAACTTGGGTGGATGAATAAAAAGTATTTTATAAGCGATTGAACTTGAGGAATGTTCATCTCTCATTAGTAGAGAATTTAGACTATATATATATATATATACTAGCTGGTATACCCGTTATTCGCACGGGTAAATTGAAAAATAAAACTATAGATATGGAAGGATAAAGAAACTTTTAAGTTAACTTTAAGTGAATTTCAAAGTAAACATCAAGGAAAGAACAATTTAGTAAATGTAATAGCGAAATCATTTAAATAATTAAAACTGAATTAAACGGTATTTCCCTAGGTAATTTGTCAGTCAATATATAAATAGTATCTAAATCAAATTAATAAACATTATTATACACGCCGCTGTGGGAGACGATTTCTGCAAAAATAAAAAGGAATGATATAGTAAAAAAGGAATATTTTTTAAAAAAGTATTTAAAATTTGGAGAAATTCTCTTGAGTTTGAAAAATAGAATTATTAAATTTTTCACACCAAGACCTTATGAACATTTACTTCTAAATGAGTAAAAGCCAGTTATTAATCAACTAAAAGTTTTAATGTATTAATAGAAACTTTAATACACCGTAACAAAATATTCGATAAATATTTAGATGATAATTAATATGTTATCTTACTTAAGAAATAATTTAACCTTCAAAATAAAAAACTAAATTCAACAAATTGATCAGTTTGGAAGATATTTTAGGATTAAATCAATTTGTTTATTGAATACACAAAGTTAAGAACGCACTCACAATCAGACTTAAACACAGTTAAATACTTAATACTTCATTATAAACAATGTTTTTCGTTTTTTTTTTTCTGCTTGAAGGATGATCAAATTGTCAGGGGAACTGACTCTTGAACATGCCACGTAAAACTGACCATGAGAAAAACAGTCATTTCTTAGATCTATGCCGGCCATTTTCAAAGTTTGTCCCTGCGCTTTATTGATAGTCATGGCATAGCAAACTGTAATAGGATATTGGATACGTTTGAATTCAAAATGGTAGTCCGATGTTATCAGAGGAATTCTTGGGAAAAATATGACCTCTCCTTCGTATTTTCCTGTTAGGATCGTTGCCTCGATGACGTTGTTGTGCAGATTTTTCACCTGAAGCTTGGTGCCATTGCACAGTTTTGGGGGATTCAAATTACGCAGTAGCATTATTGGTGCTCCAATTTTGAGGTTGAGAACATGAGGTGGTATTCCAGGTGGATTAAGAGTATTCAAAAACTCCACCGGATAATGGCAGCATCTTCTGCCTCCATTACTGAATCCACAGATTCATACTTTGCATGTTTAGAGGTCAGTTTGTTTAACAGAAAGTTGTTGATGTTATTAGCTGAGTCGTTTGTTGGAGTAAGAATAGCTCTTTCCTTCAACCATGATGAGCAATCTATTCCAATCTGATGGATATTTGGATATATTCTCTCAGTCAAGGTTATCAAATCTCCAACAATATTACCAAGACTTTCTGGAATATTTATTCTTCCTTCCATTTCCTTAATCTTTCCGTCTCCTATATCAATGAGTAGTTTGGAAAAAATTTCTGCTCTCAAATCATGTTGCAGATGAACGCGCATATTAATTTTTAAAGATACAACTTTGATATGAGGCCATAAAAAGGATGTCTTAAGACAGGCCTTGACGATATCTGCTCGTGTTCCTCGTAATACAACAGGTAAGGTCTGTCTAAAGTCACCGGACAATAAAACAGTTAGTCCTCCCATGATTTGGTAGCAGCCTCTTATATCCTGGAGTGTCCTGTTTAGAGCTTCAATACCTTTCTTGTGCGCCATAGTACACTCATCCCATATAATAAGTTTTGCTTCTCTGAGAACATGTGCCATATCACTTTGTTTAGAAATATTACAGTTAACAGATTCAGAATGATGTAAGTTGAGTGGTAATTTGAACGCAGAGTGAGCTGTTTTACCTCCATCAATTAAAGTAGCAGCTATTCCTGAAGAAGCAACGGCAATAGCTATACTTCTTTCACACCTGATTTTGGCAAGTAACAAATTAATTTAAAAAGTTTTTCCGGTTCCACCAGGTGAATCAAGGAAATAACACTGACCTGAGTTGGAAGAAATACTATTTAATATTTTGTCATATATTTCTTTCTGTTCTTGATTTAATTTGGGAACATTTTTAGCCACGATTTCGCTCAGATGAACGGTGTCGTAAGCTAGTTCCTTCACATACTGATGGTTACTGATTGCAGATCTTGCCTCTCGTGATGGGGATAAAAATCCGAACTGTAAGAGATCTTTACTCGACATATAGATATGACAATATCTTCAAGAAGAATGAGACATTGATTATAAACAATATCCAGATATAAATCGATATTTCCTTGCTGTGCTTCAATTTGTTTTTTAACATCTTCTAATAAACTATCTCGGTGTTTCTCCCATAGTTTCATTGGGTCTCCAACTTGACAGAAAACTAATATTATGGCAAATAACTCACGGATTTTATTAGGAGATTCAGAGATCGAAGCTTCTTCTAATGTGCTATTCCAATGAGCATCATCTTCCAGCAAGCCAAGAGCTTTGCAAGCTGCTTGAAATGATGGCTGGACTACTCCTGTTACAATTTTTAATGCAGTAAATGATGTTGGCCCAGGGATCTTATGTAACAGTAGCCGTAAGTAATAGCACTCAGCATTGCCAGGATGTACAGTATATACTCTTCCCAAAACCTGATCTTTCTTGATTTCCGGATAACCAGAAACAGCCTTTTCTTTTTTCCTTCTATAAAATTTGCTATTTTTCCATACATAGTATGCTGGAACTTCACAATACAAAAGAGTTTTTGCAAAATTATCAACTTGGCAGAGTTCAAAAAAGGCCATGAGTGTAGTTTTTTGAGGATTGATGATTTTGTGAATGACATTGTCTCTTCGGTAAAATAAACTACTTGTCCATTTTCTAGATGTACAGAAAGGTGCATTACAGGAGGAAATCTCTCATGAATAGGAAAACATAGAATCCGCCAGACTGCTTCAGAGCTACTGATGTATCGACCCGACTCATACCTTGTCACCTCATCTTCATCTTCAACACTGAATGTCGCTTGGTCGGTTCCCTTATTTACATATTTGCAAATATACGTTATTGATTTTACAGAATTGCAAAATTCAACATTGATATGAGCATTGAAGGTGCGGGACAGAACGGGGTTGTATGGTACAACCCACCGATTGTCAACATTATTACCTTTGATTTGTGTTACTATTCCACCGTCTTCCGGAGATCTTCTACGATACTGGGGATATCCATCTTCTCCTGTTTGAGTTTCCTTCTGGAAGCACCTTGGATATTTTTTTGTGCAGTTACCATTCAACATACAGGGTGAACTTTTGTTGATGTATCCACATGGGCCGTGAATCATAGTGGATCTTATAATTTCATAGAGGGCAGGGTCAAGTTTAGAGTCGGGTAATTCAGCACAAATAACTTTGTCAATAGATTCTGGTCTTATCTTATCTTTTAACCATAGAAGAATATGAAAGTGAGGGAGACCCCGTTTCTGCCATTCTACAGTGTACATGTGACACCTTACATTACCAAAAATGCAACCTTTCGTTAGAAGCCTCATCATATGTTTTACTTTCACACGGAAGACCCTTGCAATTATATCATGTCTATCATGTGATTTCTAACCTTAATTCAAAAGATCAACTATTTCTGACCATTTAGGGTTGCACGTAAATGTAATAAATAAATCTGGTCATCCGAAATGTCGCACATAGGTCATAGCATCTTGAGTCCTTTCATGCATGTAGCGGGATCCACCAGTGAAAGAAGATGGCAACACCACCATTTTACCTAATTCAGATAATTGTCCGTCAGTTGCTGTTATCGCATCCTTAAGGTGAATGTATTCTTCACTTCTCAGTTTTTTTTGGTTGTGACGAATCCAGTTGAGTCTTTCAGTCTCAATTTTTGCGTACATGTCGACTAAAAACTGATTTAATAGGTTGCGAAACAACAATAAATAACATACTTCACCATGTCGCTCCATAATTCGGTAGCTGTAAAATTCGGAAGCGGACACTGTCTTACTCAGAGGGATTTTAGTCGTTTCATGACGTTTAGGTATATTAATTTGATAGCCATCTTCTCCACGGAAGAACATTAAAGGGTGTTGCAATGCATCATAGGCACGATGTGTCTCATTGATTCGCATCAGTGTACCGCTTCTACAACTGAGAACGATATCTCGTTTTTCAAACTCTTGTCCGACGATGACAACGGCCACTTCTTTTGTCTGAGGAGCAGTTAAACGGCCTTTATGTTCCCCGAAAGGCTTTCTTTCAGCGTTAATAACTACTTTAAACTCTTTCTGGTCTTTAGGTACTGAATCAATAGCAGACTTAAAATCCATTATGTACTTGTTATGCTCATGCAGTGACTTTTGAAGTTGACTTATCAATTCTGGTTTGATTCCAGGATAAATTCCACAGTGGATGTCTTTTTCACGGTGATCATCTCCCATAAAATTAATTTGGAGAAATGAAGGTTTTTGATTAGCTCTAGCCATTAAGCTTCCTATTCTATGATAAACCTGCCCTTGCACTTTAAATGTTGGCATAAAGTTTCCCTCCTTTATTTCTTTAGCTCCAAAAGATGTCATTTGAAAACATCCATTATACTTACGAATTGTTGAAAGAAAATGTTCAGATAATGGATCTTGATGGGTAAGAAGGCTGTGTAAAGGTTCAGGATAGGGTTAAAGAGTAGGGAGCTGAACTTTACCTCTACTGCAGCACATTCCTTGGGTCTCATCCTTCCAGTGACTTTGAGTACATTTTAGTACAGCCTTTCTCACTTGCTTATATCGGATT